AGAACCACTGTTCTAACAATTAAATAAGAATAATAAAATGCCCAGTGGTTGCCTAGGTCTACTCACTGAGTAAATAACTTGCTCCTAGACTTCAGCCTCAAGATTCTAATTTCTGCCTCAATAAAGTAACAAATTACTTTTATGGATTTTAAAGGTTACTTCAGATTAGTAGAACTGCAAATCTTCACATTCCATAAGTTTTCTGTAATGAATGTCATGCTAGTGAAAGTCAATGTAATGTATGTTATGCAAGTGAAATAGTCAAAGGTAATCCTTTGAGAGATGATTTTTTTTTTTTAATTTTCCACTAATTGGCTCGGCCCCTGTAGCTCAAGTGGCTAAGGTGCCAGCTACATACACCAGAGCTGGTGAGGCAAGAGTATCGCTTGAGCCCGAAAGTTTGAGGTTGCAATGAGCTATAACTCCACTATACTTTACCAAGGACTAGAAAGTGAGACTCTGTTTAAAAAAAAAAAAAAATTACTTGGGCATGGTGGTACACACCTGTAGTCCCAGCTTCTTGGGAGGTTGAGGCAGAAGGATCACTTGAACCAAGGAGTTGGAGATTACAGTGAGCTCTGATGATGCAACTGTACCCTAACTGGGCCAACAGAGCAAAACTCTGTTTTAAGAAAGAAATTATTCTAAGGGACTTATCTATGTCTCAAAATTTGGTTATGTCTTCTCTAGGATTATACCTTTGATACCAAGCCTCTCTTTTCCCTGTGCCTTCCCAAACAATATTTTATTTTTATTTCCTTCCTACTGCATCTTTTGAACAACCATTAAAGCTGTGGTAAAGTACTCTATAGAAGTTTTTGTTCAGTTAATGCATACCATTAATCTAAAATTTGGAACTTTTAGGTATACTTTGCTTGTTAAGATGTTTGAACCCAGCTCGGTGCCTGCGGCTCAAGTGGCTAAGGCACCAACCACATATACCTAAGGTGGCGGGTTCCAATCCAGCCCGGGCCCGCCAAACAACAATGATGGCTGCAACCAAAAAATAGCCAGGCGTTGTGGTGGGCACCTGTGGTCCCAGCTACTTGGGGGGGTGGAGGCAGGAGACTCGCTTGAGCCCAGGAGTTGGAGGTTGCTGTGAGCTTTGATGCTACGGCACTCTACCCAGGGGGATAGCTTGAGGCTCTGTCTCAAAAAAAAAAAAAAAAATGTTTGACCCACACAACAGCTTTGACAGCTTCCTTTTACCATTCATTCACTATGACATTCATCTAGTGAGAAGACTAAAACATAAAAAGTTGAGCCACTTCTTTGTCAATCTTTCATGCCTTCCATTAGACCTAACTGCCTATATATTCAGTTGTTTTCTTTTCCTCCATCTTTTATTTGTATATAATCATAGGATCCAACTGCAATTTTGCTACTTTCCTATATTACATTGTGGTGAAGTCAGAGCCTTCGGTGCATACATCACTGAAGCAATACACATTGTACCCACTGAGCAACCCCCCCCCATCCACCTCTTTCAAAATGACTGTACTGTTCTAGGCTAAGTAAAGGTACAGTTATGGTATGTGTCATTCTTGAAAAGCAAAGTTAATGCATGTAACAGTGCCCACAATAATCAAAGCCACTTGAGAAGCTGCTTACTTTCTGCCTAATAATGAAAATGTGTATATGTGCCTTTATTCGTTTTTAAAAATAGCAAATAAATAATCAATTCAGCTAGGGAGATAAAAAGTACTATCATAGGAGAATGTAAGTTGGGCATGATCACCCATGCCTATAGTCCTAGCAATTCAGGAGGTTGAGGTGGGAGGATCTCTTAAGGCCAGGAGTTTGAGGCTATAGAGTGCTATGATTTCTCCTGTAAATAGCCACTGTACTTCAGTCAACAATGACATCTACAACCAAAAAATAGCTGGGCATTGTGGCAAGCACCTGTAGTCCCAGCTACTTGTGAGACTGAAGCAAGAGAATCACTTAAGCCCAAGAGTTCAAAGTTGTGAGCTGTGATGCCACGGGACTCTACTGAGGGCGACATAATAAAACTGTCTCAAAAAATAAATAAATAAAAGAGAGAGAGAATATGATCACATGTAAATGCAGGTTGTTACTCACTTGAGGGAAAAATTGAGATGGTTCAGGAAATAATCTTAAGTTTTTGACTCTTTTATTATATTAGAAATGTATGTGTAGGCTCAGCGCCTGTGGCTCAAGTGGCTAAGGCACCAGCCACATACACCTAAGGTGGCAGGTTCAAATCC